AATATTGATGTAATGCACACTGAAAAGAATATCGCCAATGCACTTTGGGCAACACTCATGGACACTGACAAGTCTAAGGACAACCCTAAGGCTAGAGTGGACCTGGCGATGTTGTGCGATAGACCACAGCAAGAGATGCGACCTCCTGCAAATAGCAAGAACTAGAAAAGGCCTAAGGCCAATTTCGTCTTGAAACCCGAACAAAGGAGGGAAGTACTACGATGGATCAAGGCGTTAATGTTCCCTGATGGGTATGCAGCAAACCTGAGCAGGGGAGTGAACTTAGGCACTATGCGAGTCAACGGGATGAAGAGTCATGACTACCACGTATGGATTGAGCGGCTTCTTCCGACAATGGTACGAAGCTATGTTCCTGAGAATGTCTGGCTAGTGCTTGCAGAGTTGAGCTATTTCTTCCGCCAGCTTTGTGCCAAGGAGCTATCTCGGACCATGGTTGCAAACTTGGAGAAAGTGGCACCTGAGTTGCTTTGTAAGTTGGAGAAGATCTTTCCACCCGGCTTCTTATTGTCGATGCAGCATTTGATTGTGCACCTCCCGTATGAGGCACGTATGGGGGGGCCCGTGCAGGCTCGTTGGTGCTATCCGATCGAGAGATGTCTGAAGGCCGTTCGCAAAAAATGTAGAAATAAAGCCAAAATTGAGGCTTCCATTACAGAGGCTTCCATTCTGGAGGAGGTGACAAACTTCACACAGCTATACTACACAACGAACCTTCCTAGTGTGCATAATCCACTCCCTCGCTACAATGCTGACGAGAATGAATCCAACCTCAGCCTTTTCCAAGGGCAACTCAGAAGCGCAAGTGGATCGACCAATAAGAGGTTGGATAATGAAGAGTGGCACAGTATCATGCTATATGTGTTGTAGAACCTAACCGAGGTGAAGCCGTTCATTGAGTAAGTTCTCAACGAACTTGTTTCAATACGCCGTCACTATTCTGCATCCAACTGATTCTTTCTCGTTTGCACAGGGAATTTATTCGTTTATCCTGGCATCAACCAAGGGGTCCTACCCCACGGCAAACCGATACCCTTCTTTCACAGGGTCCGGGAGCAGGGAGGCCTGATTTCATTTCTTGGTTCAAAACAAATGTATTGTCCAATTTACCTCATACCTAGTTCGAGATTTCGAGTTTCGCGTACTTAGTCCGGCAATCTTTCATTCTTGCGCTTGCAGGCCCAAACCGATGCAACTATGAGTAAGGAGTTGAGACAGGTTGCAAATAGCTTTGACAATAAGGTGAAAGCTTATTCAGGTTATGATGTGAATGGATATCGCTTTCACATAGCAAGCTACGAGCGAGCTCGGCCCCATCGAAAAACCACAAACAGCGGAGTTTGTACTCCCGGCACTGATGGCCTCGAGTATCATGGCATAATCGAAGAAATCTATGAACTTTCATTTTATGGTTCGAAACCTCTTCGTCTCGTCATGTTCAAATGCCACTGGTTCAATCCTCGACTAACGAAACAAAGCCCTAATATTGGTCAAGTCGAGATTCGACAAGATTCCGTCTATCAAGGAAAATATGTCTTTATTGTGGCTCACCAGGCCGTGTAGGTTTACTATTTGCCATACGCGTGCACAGACCCCGAGCGGAGGCCCGGCCATACGCCAACGGCCGTCCCCTTCACAGCAGCGGGTCGACGCACTCCAGGTTAGTCCCGTTTAACTCTTCGTACATTGATCTTTAAATAACTTAGTTACCTTTGCATTACTGAAACATTCGATTGAAATGTTGCAGGCCGAGAACGAGAGGATGGCTCAGGAGCTGCGGGACCTAGCGGCGAGGGCCGAGTAGGCCGAGCGGGAAAGACAGGCCGAGCGGGAAAGGCAGGCCAAGTAGCTAGCGGAGATTACGACGTTCCTGCAGAACTTTGGGCAAATGCACAGTGTAGCTGTGCAGCAGTTCGCTCCACCGCTGCCGCCAGTTATAACTAGTCCTGTGAGTATGAAACCAAATTTCTTCGACTAGTGCTTTCATTAGATGACCACTCTAACAGATGTAATCTCTTGTCCTTTATGCAGCCTCCGTCGGCGGGTTCGAATAACCCATCTCAGGCGCAAGCAGGCGACGACACTTTTCCTTCACCAGGCACTCAGTTTTCTCCCCACCTGTAGTTTGTATCTCTTTTTCACCGCTTGATGGACATGTGATGCACTATGATCGACTATCGACTTGTTTCGATGGATATTGGACCTATTATGCTTGTGATGTCATGTATGTGAGATATTGTGTGATCGACATGTGATATATATATGTGGTATTGCCTTTGTGATGAGATGGATGTGATATATATGTGCTATATTGTGTTTGTGATGTCACAGATGTTATATATATCTCTCTCTTATATGCTGTGTTTGTGAATATAGAATCAAAAAAAATTAGCCTCTTTGCCGAGTGCCCTAACCCTGGCACTCGACAAAGTTGGGAATTCTGCATAGCTTTGCCGAGTGCCAGGGCCAGGGCACTCGGCAAAGATTTTACGAAAAAAAAATTAAAAAATATTTGCCGAGCGCCGACCTGGTAGGGCACTCGGCAAAGAAATTATTAAAAAAATAATAAAAAATATTTGCGAGTGCCTCCCCGGTACGGCACTCGGCAAAGAAATTTTGAAAAAAAAAATTAAAAAATATTTGCCGAGCGCCTCTGACATGGCACTCGGCAAAACATGTACTAACGCAACCGACGCCGTGACGGTCACTTTTCTTTGTCGAGTGCCGAGATTGCACTCGGCAAAGACTTTGCCGAGTGCCCGATAAAAGGCATTCGGCAAACAATTCTTTGCCGAGTGCTGCCCTTCGAGTGTATTAGGCACTCAGCAAAGCGCCTGAATCCAGTAGTGATTTGGACTTAACTTTCTCTTTTTTGCTGATAGCAATCAACCTCACCGCAAGCTGGATGTGTCGTCGTATGCATTGTAAAAGCCAAGGCGAAACCAAGAGTCGAAAGACTACTTTTGTACTCATTGTTGTATAATTAATGTATTATGGCGATCGGTGCTGATGTTAATTTCCAAGTCTAATTAAAAGAAGTGCTTCCTCTCTGCTAACCTACCGATTGTGAATGTTGGTTCTTATGTATACGGTTCGTGCACTGCGCACTTGTATTTATATAGCATATACGAGGGGGGCAAGTCTCGTGATAAGTTAATGCCAAGGAATCCTCTTATACATTGATAGTACCACAAAAAAGTTCGACTCATATATATAACTAAAAATAAATACCTGCAAATCTTTGAACAAACCAACAATACTACATAAAAATGTGAGTGACGAAACAATGATTAATGTTAAGAAATCTTGCTGATAGATACATAGACAACATGGATACGGTATATTTATTTTTAATACTACTTTGACGGCCAATAAGATAATTCCAAGGAATGCTCTTACTGATAGTACCACAAAAAAAGTCCAAGACATATAGCAAAAATAATACGTAGTAATCTGAAGTTGTCACCTCAGTACAATACATGCTTACAATTCGGTAATGTACGAATCTAGCCAGTCTACCAGTGGCGGGAGATGGGGGTGAGAGGGGGGACCAAGCGCCCCTAGTCCTTATAGTTTTCACTGAAAGATTTAAAATTTGATCAAGTTTTTAAAGATATAAGAAGAAAACATTTCCAACACCGCATTGTGAGCATCTATGTAGGTGCCGTACATTCGGTAACAGTCGTAGTCACACTGGTAGAGAACAGAGCTTTACTTCCGGTGGGGAACCCCCTCTAGTCTCGGTTCCCCACCCGGGAGTAATCATCCGGGACTAAAGGGGGTCCTTTAGTCCCGGTGGGTAACACCAACCGGAACTAAAGGTCGTCCCAGCTTTAAAAAAAATAATGCCTCCCACCGCTGCGTCCCGTGAGATTCGAACCCAATACCCCATGCATTGCCTTGCGCGTAGCTTACCACCCCACCTACACAACACATCTAACCATGGATGGGATGCTTCCCTTTTGAACTAACCCATCGGGGGACCTTTAGTCCCGGTTGGTGTTACCAACCGAAACTTAAGGGTCTACTTTTAGTCCCGGTTGGTGTTACCAACCGGGACTAAAGGTTGAGGACTTTTAGTCCCGGTTGGTGGCTCCAACCGGGAGTAAAGGTCCACCTTTAGTCCCGGGCGCAAAAAATGCCGGGACTAGAGTCTATTTTAGCATCGGATGAAAGGTGTGTTGTGTACTAGTGTCACCTTTGGAGTCCACTCTCCCCGGCGCTTCTTCCATCGTCTGCCTCGGGTGATTGTTGGCTAACTGTGGGGCAGCAGACGCAAAGTAAAGGCGGAGGTAGAAACCACAATGGATGGATGAAGAAAGGAAAGGGAAGGGAGTCATAGGGCCGGGTTCAGTCAGGGCAAGAAAGAGATGGGGGAGACGTGGAGTGGACCGACTGTGAAAGTTAGACCGACTTCTAGCTTGTGGTCGGAATTTACAGCTGAAACCTGGGCCTAATGGATGGGCACGTGGGTTCCATAAATTTCGACGCAAAGTTTCTGGCCTCACCAACCCAGTTACTCAACATGAAGCACAATATGAAGGAAAAGGTCCTTTGGACCCTTTAACTTTCATGGTCTTCAGATTTCCCTTCTCATCTATAAAATCAGTCTTTGGAAGCACCCCCCTCAACTTGTAAAATTGTTTGTTCTTTGCATCCCGAGCGGTTTTTGCTGGCGTGACACCATGTTGTTAGACAAGAGAAGGGTAAATCCAAGTGGTTGATAGTTTTTCGAAATCAAAATCTTCAAATCACCGTCAAGCTCGCCACGCTATATTTTGTTTCTTTTGCTCAATGTTCTAAACACAAGAAAACAATGCATGGATGGAATATTTCGATCTTTTATCTTTATTATGAGGACATCATTATATAATCCTTAAGCAAACACGCTAACTAACTGGGAAAGAAAATTCAATTCAATTCCTTTTATTGCTTTGTCAGTGTCTGTCTGACTTTTGCATGATGGACTCGGCGGCTGGCGGTCAATTCTTCCCCGCCGGCGGACAAGGCTTGTCCGGCGAAACGGCCGCCCAGAACTCGTCGTCCTGCTCCAGCAGCGCCATGTGCTCCGGCGTCAGCACCAGCTCCGCGGCGATGCTTCCGCCGCCCTCCTGCCCCGGGTACAGCGACGCCTTGCCGTCGGACTTGTTGGCCTTGCCGCTCCGCGCCGCCAGCGGCGCGCCCCAGCCGAAGTCGCAGCCGTACATGTCGAAGCGCGGCGAGCTGCCCATCATGATGCCGTTGGGGTCAAAGTACCTGAGGTTGTAGAGGACGGGGCTGGCCATCCACGCGGCGACGCGCGCCCGGATGTCGGCGTCCGTGTGCGCCGCCACCGCGCGGCCCACGGCCGCCGTCGCCCAGCCGTGTCCGCGCTCCAGCAGATCCGCCGCGGTGACGGCCTCCGTGGCGACGGCGTAGATGGTGTTCCCGAAGTACTCCGGCGGCAGCTGCGGGCGGAGGCGCGTGCGGTTGTTGATGGCGGCGCGGCAAAAGGTTGTTTGGTCGGGCGGCAGGCGGCGCGCGCGGGTGACGCAGCGCCACACCAGCGAGCTGAGCGCCTGGAACTTGGTGACGGCTGCCGCGCCGGCCGCGTCCCCGGCCGCCAGGAGCTCCTCCCGCGCCCGGTCCTTGAGCGCCTCCAGCGTGTGGGCCGAGAACTGCAGCATGCGCTCGCGCAGCGGCGGCGGGGGCAGCCTCTCGATGAGCCCCGTGAGGTCGGGGAACGGGAGCACGACCGGCGGCGTCGGCGTCGTCAGGCCGTCGGGGGACCAGCGCTCCAGCAAGGGCGGCGGAGCTGGAGCGTGCTTGTGCTCCTCCGAGGGGGAGGCAGAGAGGCTGTCGCGCGCGATGCCCGCCCATACGTTGATGAATCTCCATAAGGCGGTGCCGTCGGAGAGCGCGTGGTTGTAGGCGAAGCCGAGGAAGACGCCGTCGGTGAGTTCGGTGACCTGGACGACGAACAGCGGGAGGTGGTGGCCGTCGTGGTTGACGGCGCCGTCGAGGGGAAAGAGGGACTGGACGAGGCGCGGAACATCGGCGTCGGGCGGGATGACGTCGGCGACGGCGTGGACGATGTCGACGCCCTGGCCGTCGCAGTCGATGGAGACCGAGCAGCCGAGGACGTTGCCGTGGGCGTCGCGGTGCTGGTCCGTGGCGAAGCGGCCGGCGACGGGGTAGTAGGCGTGGAGCGCCTGGGCGAGCGCGGTCTGGAGGTGGTCGAGGAGGCGGGCCGTGGAGAAGGGCGGCGTGGCGTAGAGGAGGCCCTTCTGGATGTAGTCGGCGGAGAGAAAGGAGACGTCCCAGGTGGTGAGCGGGATGCGTGGGCGCGGGCGCGGGCGCGGCGGCGGCTTGACGGTGCGCCTGGACAGCACCCGCAGCTGCGGCGAAGGCGACGGGGACGGCATGGCGGCTGGTTGCGAGCTAGCTGCTTGTTGTGACTGCACTGGAACTGGATTGGCTCTGTAGCCCTAGCCCCTGCCTGCCTGCCTAGATGGCTATATATACTGGTAGAGGTGAAGTGGCCGGCCGGCCCTCCATTGATGGTTTCCTCTCCAACGCAACAACACGAGCTAGCAGCGACTGTGAGTGAACCTTCTTCCCTCTTGCCTCCCCGTCAGTATAGTCGTCAGTCGTCCCAGTCAAAGGCGCTAGCTAGTAGAAATTTCGTCTCCTACCGAAAAGCAGCTGTAACTAATTGCTTATACATACTAGTCAAATAAAGACCATGGCGGTGAAAAAGCTACAAACTTTGCTTAGGCCTTAGATACCCTCAAAATTTCAAGTTTTTTCACTCTTTTTCCATCACATCAATTTTTAGCCGTTTGCATGGAGCATTAAATATAGGTAAAAAAAATAACTAATTGCACAGTTTAGTTAGAAATTACGAGATGAATCTTTTGAGCTTAGTTGGTACACGATTGGACAATATTTACCAAATAAGACGAAAGTGCTACTATTTATTGGGTTGAAATTTTTTTAAACAAAGCCTTAGCTTACTACTACTTTGGAGATGGGCGGGGTTGGTGGCTGGCTTTGGCTGGTCTGACCTGATCTGGCTGCTAGGAGAAAAGCAACTTTGCCTAGTAATTTACTCTCCCAGCAGGTTGCTTGCCTTCAATACAATTTGTTGCTGCTTGCCTGCCTTCCTCCCCAAGTTAATAATAATATATATATATATATATATATAGGCTAGGAACGTTCATGGAAATCAAGGTCTACCACCTACTTGCTCGTACATACGTAGTATATCTAAGGCTTGCATTGTTTACAACTGATCTACACTAACATTTCATCCACCTCCCAGCAGGTTAGCAGAACGGATGGATCTAGTGATCGATCATCCAAAATAAAGAGTGCCCCGGCCCTTGTTTATAATCGTCCATAGCAGTAGCAAATAAGGCTTGCATAGTTAGGCATACATATGAACTTGACTCAACCAAAGCGCGCGCGCGCGCACTCTTGGAAAAGAAAATACAATGCGCAGATGATCCCATGAAAGCCACCATGCATGGACACATACACATACCATAGTACATACGCATGGGACGTACTATTGCTTAAATTTAGGAGTAATAGTTGGGAAAAAAAACCAAGCATGGACACATGGAGCGAATCTACATTAGGTGTGAACGGCTGCTCCATAGAGACCGCCTTGGCACCTACACATTAGTGCATGCCGTTGTGTTCGCCTGTATATAAGAACGAGTCAATGTCTGGTTTTAGTTTGGTGTTGAAAGAAAGTTGAACCCAATATATATTAGCAGAAATTGTTGAGCTTATTATTAGAAGATCTTTTTGCAGACCTACTCTAACTCTTGACGCTTTAAACAAGTGGTCTAAAGTGTTGTTCCAAATTTGACCAACCTCACAAGAAGACCATTAGTCCATTGGACCACACAAGTGAGCTAAAGTAGTCTAAACTTTAACTCTTGACTTTAGTGAACTAAACTTTAGATTATGAAACCCAAAATGAGTTTCTGCTCAGAATTTTCAACATTGATAGATTGCGCAAAAAACAAATAATGGTGGATTCAAACTTGCAAAATATCATTTAGACAAGGCTATTGCTTTATTATACGACGGAAAAAAAAAATCCAGAAAGAATGATGCCGTGCCGTTGACACAGTAACTTTCCTATGGGGGTTATATGTTCTCAATAAGAAAATAAAAAGGGGAAAAATAAAAATAAAAGGCCTATTATTGTATTGTACGTGAAGAACAAGAAAATATACATGCATGTAATTGCAAGGTTTTGGGATTCAAATGACAAAAAATTTCAGACCTGGTCGAATTGGGCAAATCTCGGAAATTTCGGTATTTTCGGACCAGAATTCACTCGTTTTGAGAAGTCATAATGTTCAGATTTAGCTAATATTTAACTGAATTTTGACAAAATTTGATCAAGAGGAGCGTGAAGATGAAGCGAACAAGTTATAGCTTGGTAAGTTTGCAATTCTATAACTTGTTCGCTTTGGCTGCTGCTTGATGCTAAATCAAAAGAGCTGGTTGCCATTGCCATAAGAGGATGATGACTAGAGAGGGGGTGCCGGCGGGCTGCTGCTTGATGCTAAATCAAAAGAGCTGGTAGCCCGCTTGTGGCTGCTGCTTGATGCTGCTGCTGACAGTAGCCCGCCGGCGACGAGGATAAGAGCTGGTTGCCATTGCCATAAGAGGATGATGACTGCGAATCATTTTATTTATTTTGGACAACCCATTCAACAGTCAGTCAGTCAGTCCTGTTACGTTGATCTCCACCAAGTTGGCCCAACGGTCAATTGGACCCTTGATCCGCGCTCTGATCGGAGGCGCTCAGCCGTACTCCTGGCTGATGCGCCCCCGTCGCGCAGCACTATAAATAAGAGGTGGGGCTAGAGCTCGAAACATGAGGTTTACCGCAGCCGCCAGCGCCCCACCGACGACCTAACCCTAGACCGATCCTAAGGATGTGCTGTGAGCGACGGGAAGCGCCATCGCAGTCGCTGCCGCCACTGACCGCGCCTCCACGTCACTGCTTCCTCTACTCCGAGCATCGCTGCGGCACCATGGCCACGACATCGGTGTAAGGTCGAGATGATGACTAGAGAGGGGGTGAATAGTCGTTTCTAAATTCTCCCCCTTTGGAATCAAACACCGAAAAGGAAGACATTAGTAGCACAAGGGAGGGTCAAACTTTTTGATCCTTTGTATGTAGAGTGGAATAGGTCACAAAATTCAACTCTCACATTGTATAGATTAAGCTCCCCCTAAATATATGCATACTTATGGTAGGAGGCAAAGTATATGCATAATTGTCAAATTATTGCTCAAGGGAATTTAATCTATATAATGCATGGAGAAAGCATATAAATATCAAAATGAAATCAACATGATGATATCGGTTTAGAAATATCACACGTGGAAACCAATTTGATTTCTACCACTTGCAATAGGTGATGGATATTTGAAGTATGATGCTTAAATCCGGGGACTCTATTTTCCTTGCAATGAGACTACTGCACACATGATAAGCTTGAAAAGGTGTTAGTCTCAAAGCGTCCAACTTGTAGAGTAACCTTCCCCTAAATTTGTGCACACAAGTGTGGGATACTTGTAGAAGTCATGCACATTGATTTTAGAATCAATAATACCACTTGAAAGATGACATCTCATGAATGTGAGAATCATTTTCGAAGATGATATTCGGGAGAAATTATCTACAATTTGGACTTTGGCACATATTAGATGAACAATCAAAAGACAAGCTATGTGCCGTGCTCCTAAGCAATTTTAAACCATGTATGTTTGCTCCAAGGGTTAAGAATGAAACCGAGCAAGCCTACCATAAGATATACCTAGTGTATGCATGACAAAAGATATAAGCATGCAAATGCAAACATAGGCATGAAAGGTAACTGGATGCTTAAAGATACCAATTTGTAACAAATACCACTTGTAGGAAATGCAAATTGATACTACTTGAAGAAAATTGAATCTAGTTACCTAACATGGGAAGGAGAATTTGGGTCCATAGTATTCACTAACCCACTTGGCAATGATTTTATCCATCATGATGCACCCCATGAAATACACCCATACTTTGCCAAGTCTCCAAATTCCCCGTTGTCCATTGGACTTCTCACTTCCCTTTCAGGATCCAAATCTTCTTGTTGCTCTTCATGTTGGAAATGATTTTCTTTGGCACCCAAAAGCGTTTGACCCCATTGTTGGCTTGCTTGTTCACCTTGATGGCCACCACCTTGTCATTTTTCTTCTTCTTTAACAAGTATGGTGTGGAGGTCTTCTTGTCCACTTTGTTGGTATAGGTGTTGGAGAGCTTGCTTGCTTGCTTTTTCTCTTTCTTCTTTTCTCCTCCCCCATTCTTCACCTTGCACTCATAGGACTTGTGACCTTCCTTATGGAACACGTAGCAAAATACGGTTTATCCTTCATCAAGCTTCTTCACTCCCTTGACGGTGTTATCTTGATGAAGTTGGGCTTGCTTCGCCTTGCCTTTTACTTGAGTCAAATCCTTGGTGAGGCGAGCTACTTCTTGCTTGAGTTGCTCATTCTCCTTTGCAACCTCTTGTGTGCACGTGTCTACAATAACTTTCTCACCACAAACTTGGTTGCACAAAGATGAGTCTAAACATAAATCATTACGAGAAGTAGAGGCATCCTTTTTAGACATGTTAAAGATAGAACTTTTCTTTTTAGATGCCTTGGTGGGGGTTGTACTAACGGCTTCAAGATTAGCAACTTTATTAGTTAGATCATCACAATGTTTGGACATGGTTTCCATTTTAGCAAGCAAACTTTTATAAGCATCTTGTGAGTTAGCTAACTTTTCTTTTAATCTTTTATTTTTCTTTACAAGTTGCTCATCATTATTGTGCATGCATTTGTTGTTGCACTAGCATTAAGTTGCTCAATTTTAGTAGATAGTTCAACATTGAGATTAGCAAAGTTCTCATATTGTTCAATCAAAGTTTTGTATGCTTCTTGTGAACTATTTAGCTTTTCTTTTAATTTTTCGAGCTTCTTTTATTGACTAGTGCAAACTTTAGCATAATTAAGATTTTGTTGTACAATTTCATCATAAGAAGGTATTTCATCATCACTATCACTCTCACTAGAGGATGAGCTTTCGTTACCTCGTGCCATAAGGCACATACGAGAAGAGCTTGATGATGAGTGCTTGCGCCCTCGCCTCTTGTGATGGTGTTCTTCTTCACTTGAAGAATCATCTGTCAAGGGCCTCAAACCCTAGGATAGCACGACCCCGACTTCGTAACTCGTAGTCGCGATCCGTCTTCTCCGGCGAGGTTTACCCCTCCACCACAGGCTTAGTTGAACGAGAGAGAGAGAGAGGAGAGTTTAGGGATAATTTATTGCTTAAATCATAAACTTCTTGTCACTGGATACATAT